CAACAACGTATCAAGTTTTTAATTTTCTTGAGCGTATTGGTGATAAAGTTGAATGCAAGAAAGAATAAAACATGAAGGACGGACAACACAATACATGTTTTGACTTGCAACGTACAGGGTTTTAATGCCGACAAGCACCGAGCTTGGAATTCTCAAGGGTGGAGGGAAAAGGGGGAACCAGGAAAGGAGGGGGGGGTGTAAAGGGGGTCGAGGGAGAAGGAGGTAGGGAGGTATGGACCTAGCAGAAAAAAGGGGGGGGGGGGAAAGGAGGGGAGGGGCAGTGGAGGAGAAGGAGAAAGGAGAGCATAATCAATATTTTTGATAGTTTATTGTGGATAGTTTTTGAGGAGGATTTTTACTGTTTTCTGATCGTTTTCCAATAGGTTCTATAGGTTTTTCCTTGATTATTATATAGATGTGACAAATTGCAGTTACGTTTTTCTTTGAGCTACATGACGTTTCATGGATGTACACTTGACATTCTTCATCACCTAATAAAACACTAATGATAGCTTTAAGATAGTATGCTGTCGATAGTTTTTCAACATTCTACTATAAGCAACTGTTGATTGTATGCTGTCGAGTTTCACAATAGTCGACTATGTACTATTGATAGTTTTACTATAGTTAACTATCGGTAATTAAATTTAGCTTCCACTATCGATAGTTTTGCACCACTAGCGCCTATGCCAAATGCAACTTCAGAAATATCTGTTGGTACTGGCGAGTCTTCGTGAATTTATGGCACCTTTTTTGTCCAAACATAAACTTTTATATTGAATAAAAAAAAGAAAACGCTGGAACACAGTTGAGTTAAACTTTGAATATAAGAAAATTTGGAAGCTAACAAAAATGAGCTCTGATAGACCCCGAATTTCCAGCAAGAAATAAACCTTGAGAAACACCCTCCGAATTTCACGACAGTATAGTCTCCAGAAACACTGAACTCTATACTCGTCAGCTGTTTGGAGCGCAAGTTCGTCTGCTTCTTTTGCAGGGGTTGTGGTGACGTCTGAGCACCGTGCTCCGATCGGTTCTATTTATTTGTTTATTTATTTATTCAGATACCTACAGCGCCATGGGGCATTACAGTAGGGGGGGGAGAAGTTGGAAATGAAGAACACGAATAGTTATACAAAAGTTAAAAGAGCAATATTCACAAGCCATAAATCTTTCAGTATCACAACAAAGTGCAGGCTACATAAAAAATAAAAATGCGGTCTACTAAACACTACGAACGTTACTCCACTACTAACTAGACACTACGAGGTTAGTGTTGAATAAAACATATCGTTAGGAACAATGTTGACCACCGAGGCTGGCAAACCGTTCCAATCCCGTATTGTTTTAGGAAAAAAAGAGTTCATATAGACGTCACTTTTACAGCAGAATTCCTTGACCTTATACACATGATCCTTTCGTTGCGATATGTAATCTGGCGGGTGAAGGTAGGCATTTCTATCTATCCCAGTCCTACAGTGAAATATGTTATTAAAAAATTTCAGTCGAAGGTTCTTCCTTCTAAAGCTTAACTCCTTCCATCCTAGGCTCTGTCTTGCACGAGTCATACTAAGTCGCCTGTCGTAATTGTTTAAAACAAAACGGGCAGCCCGGTTTTGTACTTTTTCAAGTTTGATTATCTGGACAGCAGTGTGAGGATCCCATATAGTGCAGGCATATTCTAAAATTGAGCGGACATGCGAAAAATAAAGTCTTTCTTTCAAGGAACGTGGTACAGGCTTAAAATTACGAGCGAGAAAGCCAAGCATTCTCGAGGCTTTAGAGACAGTATAGTCAATGTGCTTATTCCAACTTAGGGTCGAGGTTAGGAATACACCAAGATATTTGTATTCGTAGGCAACAGTGAGTGGCTCGTCATTAATGGTATAAGTACTGAGGGACGGAACACGCCGTCTCGTAAATGGGATGTGGACAGTTTTCTTAAAATTAATATTCATTTCCCACAGTTTGCACCAATCGGTAATTGCATTTATGTTTGCCTGTAGAATGTCGACGTCATCACTCGCTCGTATTTTTCGATAAACAACACAATCGTCTGAATGAAGGATAGTGGGTAGACCTCAAGGCAGCTTGTTTTGAGGTCTACCCCTTATCCTCCAATTGTGCCAGTGGGAACTCGACGTCTTTCTGACATCACCGCAGCTCCTGCACGAGAAGCAGATGACTTGCTGTCCGCATTGTGGGCTACATTGCTAAGGGTAATGCAGCACATTGGGCGAGAGGCCAAGGCTACATTGCCAAGGCTAATGTAGCTTTCACAGTGCAGCAGCCTCTCACAGCCGTGAGAGCACATGGCTTCATCTTGCCTCTCGCCCAACTAGATTTGACAGAGTCAAAGCACTGCAGAAAGCTACGCTAGCCTTGACAATGTAGCACATAATGGCTGACGGCGAGTATAGTTATAACGAACGTCTGTTGTAACCAGACTTGTTGTTACAAGGTTATACTGTATATATCCTTTTGTCCTTAGCACTCTTGTTCTGGCCTCAGACAGTAAAGAGCTTCCCCATGAATTATCAAACACCTTTTTCATTCTAATGACCCGTTTTGGTGATCTGTGCATTGCTAAAAGCTGATTTCTCTTTCATTCTTCCCTCCCACATTTTCTTTTCTGCTTCTTTTACTTTTTGGGTTTCTTTCATTCATTTTGTTATTAAAAAAAGTTGAAGAGGTTTAAAAAAAAAAGAAGAGTTAGAGGTGTATGCCAGCGTATGTTTGTCCCGTGAATTTGAAAATGACAAAATTTGACCCGAGCGTGTCAATAAAAAACTGGTTAAGTGCAGGAGAGCTAATGTAAGTCATACATGATGACCGAAACCTGAGACTGTGGTTTGAAAAACGGAAACTCGTGAAGGACTAAGATTAAGGGTCAGACAACAATAGTCGCCAGAAAAAGCGAAGAAACAACCGCTGGATGTGGCATTTATACCCAGAGGTTTCAATTGCCTCGCACTTGCTACTTGTGAGGGGATACGTGCAGCGCTTTTGACTGCTCGGGTAAAGCTTGCAGAAGGCGCAAAAGTGTTGAGGTCTCTTTATAGGTAATACACCACCATTCCCTCCTCTCCTTAAACGCGCAGGGAGAAGGGGCTTCAGCGCTACTTTAAATGCGCCGTTGTGGCTACTTGGCGTGTCAATCCGATAAATATATCCCCCCTTTGAACGGTCCGCAAACATTGGTTTCTCAACGTATTGCACTGGGATGTACTACAGAGGTGCCCGAAAGTGGTAAATTCATAAATTGAGAGTATGAATACGTCAAACCTCCGGAGTCACCTTTTCGTTTTTCGTGACTTACTCAGGTGAGCCAATCTTTCCACAATTTTAGTAAAAGCCCCCCCCCCGCCTTCGGGCACCTCTGTAGTAAATCCTACTGCGATACATTAAGAACCCGATTTGTGCGGACCATCCGAAGTGGGATCAAAGCGTTAGTGTACGCGCTGTAGAACATGTTCCCAAGGGACTATAAGAAGTTCAATAGTGGAAAATAAATGCTGTGGAAGGTCACTACGACCTGCCAGCGACCGCCACTGGAGAGTGCGGGAAGATTTGATGTTGGTTTAGAACACAGCTCTTAGGCGCCTGCTTGCGTGTTTTGTGGTGTCGGCGTAACCGTGCGAAATTTAGAAAGAAAATTGATGTCGCGTGACCTCAACACCAATTCAATTTGCCGCTAAATTTAGTAGGGAATTGAATTGGTGTTGAGGTCACGTGACTTCAGTTTTTCCGCTAATTCTTGTGGAGAATCTGAATTCGTTCATAGGTGATATGACGCCAAGTCATGCGACGTCATTTTCTCCACTAAATTTAGCAGGGAAACTGAATTGGAGGAGGTGCGGAGAGGAGAGGATGGAGGAGGGGGAGCAGCATACCCTCTCCTCCTCCTCCTCAGGTGCTGGGCTCTAACTTCGCATTGCAGAGATTTGTAAACGTCTTTAATTTTTTACTTTTTACTATTTTTACTATTTAGTGATACTAAATAACATGCCCAGAACTGTAAAGCCCGAGTGTTTAAAAATATGTAGTTTGGGCAGCTAGAAAAGTCAGCAGGTATCCCTTTAAGCTTGGTTAGCAGTCGGTTGAACACTTCACTAGATATAAAAAAAAGTTCCAGTATCAAAGCCGGGGTCAGGTAGGTGTTTTCAGTGGCACACCAGTTGCTTGGAGGGCATGACTTGAGCTCCATCTTAGGTGAAAGTATAATAATTTCACAATAAAAAATGCCAAGCTTTTTTTTGTCGTTTTCTTTATATGAAAGTTTAGATATGGCGAACTGCACAGGCAAGAAAAACATTGAATGAGCACCAGCGCTCGTGTTGTCCTGTTCTTCCTGTCCTATGTTCCGCGCTGTTCCATTTAGTATTGAATGAGCTTTTGACGGTTTCCGTAATTCGCTCGTGACAATTTTGTGCTATTCAGGTCTGTTTTAGTCCAGTGGAAAGGTGCCTTTCAAGCAAAATGCAGTACCGTTCTTCAGAGTATCATGTTGGTTTTGCCCATGGCTCTAGAACGGTGTCAGCTTGGCAGGGCAAAAGACACGGCCATGTCTTCTAACACTGCATGCACACATTTTCTGTGTGGTAAACGTGCGGAACAAAGTTTAGTACAATCTGCTTAAATGCAACTCTGTTCATAGGCCCTCTACTAACTTACCCAAGCATCATGGGTAATGTTAGGAAGGTATAAATTGGATGCACAACACACGCTCCCATTACCCGTATAAGAGATACAACGTAAACAATTAAAATAATGCATCGACGAACACACGGGCAGAGTGCCTTTGGGAGCTTCCTAGGTAACTGAAACTTTGCATAATGTTTGTTTCGGAGTAATCTCCTTGCCTCATGATAACTAGAACTCCCACCAAATTGAACGGTTTTACGCTGAAAAGGGATGCTACTGCGTGTTGCGTGTGCTAATTGCACTTGTCCGAAACTTTACGTGCCACATAGCGCCACCTTGTGTCTGTGGGTGTGCAGAAGGAGCGCAGCCTGACCAAGGGACCCGGGTGGTTCGGGATGCCTGCCCCAGAGTTGACGGAAGACCTCAAGAGGGACCTGCAGGTCCTCAGGATGAGGCGGGTGCTGGACCCCAAGCGCTTCTACAAGAAGAATGACCTCAAGGACCTGCCCAAGTACTTCCAGGTAGGGGGCTTGTCCTCTCTCTGGAACCTAGAGACTCGGACGTGCACCACGGCGCACCAAGTTTGCACGCCGGCAAGCACCCAGTTTCTCAAGAATTTCGCCAACCTTTCCCGAGGTAACGAAATGTAATATGTTGAGCAGACTCCTTGCAAGTACAGGATAACTTGGTTGGACTCAACAGCTTTCGAAACCACGAGAATTATGGGTCTGAACCCCCGCCGCGCGACAACCGCTGTTTTTGGCTAAGCGCTTTATTTATTGCCAAATTTGAGAATTTGACCTGTACCTCCCATCAAAAGTGAGAAACTGCCAGAGGAGGCTGGTTTCTACAGAAAAAGTTACAATTAAAAGCTGAAAGTGTTAAAAACACAATGTCAAGAAGCTACTGAATTCTAAAACAAAATGATGCCGAAATCGCCACTGTCGTTTCATTGATTCTCGACGAAATGCATTAGCATTTAGCGCGGGGGTTCAGACTCGACGAAGGATGGGAATTCCAACCTTGCAACGGTTCGCATACTGTTGTGTTCAGAAAGCCGGCCTGTTCTCTTGGGCGTCGGCGGTTTTGGAAGCAGCCACCATAGCCTCGTCCCTGCCCACAGCACACCATTGGAAGCGTACCAAAAGAATCTTTCCCTCTTGTAAGAGGAAAAGTGGGTGTAACAAGTGTTGCGTTTCAACATAACGTTTAATGCATGTCAAGACATGTTTACAAATTAGTTATAAGTAGCATTCCGTGTTTTCGGATAAACCCGAAAAACTTTAAAAAAAAAAACACTTGCCGGTAAAATTTTGGTCAATTCGGATTTGTCCTATAAACTCCGAATTTCAATGTGCCAGTCCCCCCCCCCTAAACACACACACACAGAAAAGTATTTTACAATGAATAGTTTGATCAGTGTGTAGAGTCAATGGTCCTGGGAAAATGCCACCGCACTTATGTTTAAAATTTTGGTCAGTAGAACAAGTCATTATACTTTTGGGTCACAACAAAAGTCACTGTTTATGTTTCCAGTTTGGGTCATGTATTATTGGTGCTTTAGAGGGAAGAGAGGTTGTGTTTTTCGAACGTTGAAAGCTATGGACCATAGGGATCGCATAAAATGGGGAAGAGGGACAGTTGAAACTTCTCTATTACATCCTTGACCACTACTTTGCACGGCCGCGCGGTAGGTTGATGGAATAGTATAGAATGAATAGGTTTGTGCGATTATTAAAAATTTCGAATAGTTGCTTAGAATATAACGCTATTTGATATTCGCTTCGAGAAGAACTGCACTATTTGTGTTTTTCAAGTGTTGATTGCGGCGGGTTAGCCCCGTTGACTGCGCTTCTTACCGAGCACTGGTGCACTGCGGAGAAGCAACACTCGCGGAAGCAAGCTTTGTGGGTGCTGCTTCTCTGCGTTACATCGGTGCTCGGTAAGAAGCACACTCAACGGGGTAACCTGCCGCAATAAACACTCAGAAAAGGCTTAGAAGAAAAGCATACATTCAAAGCAGGATGGTGCACGTGTGCTGGCTGTATTTGAGAATAAATTGAAACTTTGTGAATGTGTGTATCTACATAGTAGTAAAAGTTTCAAAATTAAACTGACTGCTGTGCAAGAGTATGTTAGGCAGAGATGCCCTTACAATCTGAGTTCATCATGTGCGATTGTTTCCTTTTTAACTCGAGATTAAAGGAAGAATATTTAATATAACAATATTTGTAAATTCACTCAATTGGGTATAGTTGGCCATTTCTATAGGATTCATTTTATGTCAAATTCGTTGTTTGCTTGCAATCTCAAGACGTTAGACCCTCTGAGGACACAGTTCATAAATATAGATAGATTAAACTTGGCTTATAAATGAACATGTGGAATAACCTTCACGAGTTTAGCTTGGTTTTCGTCTAAGCATGATGCAATGGTAGTGAAAGGCGTGGAAAAACTATTTGAATCGTAAATATTCGGCCAAAACCACTATTCGCTTTGAATTCACATCGGACTCGAAATCCACTATTCGCACAGGACTAGGAATGAATGCAAGCTTCCCAGCGGCTACCTCTAGGAATTTATTGACTTTAAGGTATCGACATTTATCGAAGCAACACTTGTGTGCAACTTTTGTCGTAGGAAAAATTAGTATCGTCATAGTAATGGCGCCAGCGCCAAATACAACTGAAGAAAATATTAATTGATACAATCACTTTTTTTTTGTCCAGCATATGTTTACATTTGGATATTATTTATTTATCTTTAATCAGAAACACTGCGAAATTAAACTCCGAATTTTGGAGAATTGGAGATCGAACAAAAATAAACTCTGATAAACTCTGAATTTCCGTCGCAACTCTTGTCTGGCACACTTTCGACGTCGTCGCAAAGCAGTCGCTGAATTCATTGCGGAGGTCTCCGAGCTGTCGTCGTTCCGTGGCACTGAACTTGGGGTTAACGTCGAGCTGCGGCAGCGGTGTACTGTACGGCTGGCATGCGAGGGCTCATCGCAGATCATGGCAATTTTGGTGCGGCCCAGAGTTCCTCGGTGTGTCCTACAGCGGAACCTTTCGTGAGGTTCTGCGCCTCCAGTCGAAAGTTTGTCACAAGGATCACAGTGCACTCGTCCTGCAGCTCTCTTATGCCCCTTGCGATGCCTATTCCTCTCCCGAAGACCAGTTGGATGTCGCCTTCCAGAAGGACTTTCCCGTGAGCGACTGCATCGGTTACGACGGGCACAAGAGCACTCAATTGTGGCGGCAGGTTCACGTGGTCCGCAATGACTCGGATGGCGGCTGGCGTAGTTTGGATCCCTCCGGAGTTCGGACGGGCTTTCGCAGCGTCAACCTGTTTCCTCCAAGGTCGATCACGGCACCGTGCTCACACAGGAAATCATGCCTAGGATGACGTCTCTCGAACAGTCCTTGAGGACGACGAATTTCACTGGACAGGTCTCCCCGCAGACGTCCACGTGCGCAGTACACCTTCCCACTGATGTGATGAGATATCCGCCGGCGGTTCGTATTTTCGGGCCATCCCTCGACATCATTACTTTCCAAAGGCGGTGAGAGAGCTTCCCACTTAAAACCGAATAGTATGCTCTGGTGTGGATGAGTGCCTTCGCGTTGTGGCCGTCAATGATTACGTCGAGGTCATTGGACACTGTTGCAGAAGCATCACTCTGATGCGTCTTGTCGCTAGTGGGGGAGCCCTCTGACCTTTGTGGAGGATATTGGCGTCGTTCGTCCTCCGCAACACCACCTCCCGGTATTGCCGCGCTTAGTTTTCCCGGCGGGACATGGGAGACAGGCTTTCTCGGCGGGACCGATGGACAGTTGATGCAGGATCGATGGACAAGTGATGCAGGGTGAAGGCGAGCGAGCTCCTCGCGGTGCAGCGGGTGCAGGAGACGGACGGCGAAGATACTCGTCAATGTCTCATGGGCACTCACCGTACTGTGGGTGCGGGTCATTCGGGGGGAACCCGCACAGCCCAAGTTGTCCGTAGGGGCATCGGCGACAGGCATGGTCAACTTCTCCGCAATGGTAACATAACGGGCGTCGGTCGGTCGTTCGCCACACGTCGGTTTTCCTCAGCAAGGGTCACTCTGGGCGGACGTGCTGGACCCGTTTTTCGTGACGTCGGGAGAACTGCGGTGCTGGATGCCATGACGTGGAGGCGCCACATACGAAGAAGGCGGCGTTGACCGGTGGGCCATTGCAGCGTAGGACAGCGTCTGTTCCACGGGGGTTGGCACGTCGATGGGAGTTTCAGACTGCAAGGCCCGCTGTACCTCATCGTGCACGATATCGGCAACTGACAGCGACGCCGGGTGCTCAGCAGCGGGCAGCAGCGTTCAAAGCTCCTCTTGGACGACGTCTCGGATTATCTCGCGTATGTCCGATGTAGTGGAGTCCAAGTAGCAACTTGACGACGCGTATGCCATGACGCCAGGTAGTCGCTGGTAGTGGGAGGCTCATGCCTGGAAGGCACGTTCAATATTCGTGGTCTCCATCACAAATTTTTGATGGTCGACAGTGGGTGGCGTACAAGGCCTCCAAATATGTTCTCCTTAACGCCACGCATAAGCATTTTCAGCTTCTCTTCCTCCGTCGCGTGAGGGTCGGCGCGTGTGCTTAGACGTAGCACATCTTCAACGAAGCTGGTTATGCTTTCGTTAGGGGCCTACATTCGTATTTGAAGCTGGTCCTCTGCCTTCTGTCACCGCTGTTGGCTTGAGAAGGTCTGCTTCAGCTCAGTGGTGCAGATGTCCCACGAAGTGAGCAAAGCCTCGTGGTTCTCGAACCAGTGTCTCGCAGTGCCTTCCAGCGAGAAGGAGAGGTTCTGGCAGCATTGCTCAGTGTTCCATCCGTTGTGGCGGGCCACATGCTCGTAGTGTAGAATCCAGTCCTCGACGTCTTCACAAGGTTTGCCATGGAAAGGCATCGGCGATCGAGGGGCGACGGGCAGGTAGACGACAGGGGCAGCGGCAGGGGTCTGCAACAATTGGCTTTTCATTGTCGGCTTCGTCGACTGGTGGATCTTCTTTGCCAGTGAACCGAATTCCGGGGGCAAACCTTGAACACGGCGGCTTCCTCGGGTCTCTGTCGATTCCACGGACGGTCTTCTGGAGCCGGAGACTGGGCTTGCGCTGCGAGGCCTCAGAGGGGTACGCTTCATGGGCTGCGGTACCCCACACCTCCACCAGAAATCTCACGAATGAATGTGACGATAAGACGAACAGTGAACTTAAAATTAAAGTTTAATTGGTGAACTTGTGCCAAACAAAATAAGTAACAAAGGAGTGCCGAGGCAGCAGAAAAGCAGGCGGCGAAACGGAGAGCGAGACTGACTTGACAAGGTCACGGGCAGCTGCTTATCTACAGTGTGTCACTATCTCGGAAGTTCGGCAAAGAAGGTTCGAGCGTCGCGCACTCGGGGCAAGAATGAACTGGCACTTTCGTGAACAAGAAAGCAGGACGAAAGTTACAACCGGAACCAGAATAAATGCGAATCTTCTAGAAGTTTGTGGCCCAGCGTTGCTTTCTCGGCCCTGCGGGCGGCAATATACGCGCGGGAACTCGCACGTTACAGGAGCCGATATTGTGCGCACAGATCGCGGACAAAAATGCAGGAATCCACTATGAACTTGTTTGTCAGACGTACCAGTACCGCAGATCACGTGGTTGATGCGATTCCTGTCAGACATCGTGTGACTTCCAACGGGAATTAGAAGGTGGGCAATGTTTCGGAATATTTATTTTACCGATATTTAGCTAGAAAAATGGGATGGGCGATTTCTCGAGGGAAGGTGTCGTAATAGAATTTTGCAGTACGCACTTCTGTCTGGACTTAAAGTTGGATCACACTAAAGAGACATAATTTCTCTTTCAAGATGTCAAAATCTAAAGAAAATTTTTGGACTGTACACAAACGCGTCATGCCTAGTGCGGGCAGGAGAGCAAAACAAAAAAGAGCAGTGCTTACAGAAGCGCTGCAACCCAAGAAGATCCCTGGTCAAACAAGTACACACAGTGCACGCGGCATCATGTGCTTTAGCTTTCAGCACACCAGCGTAGACCAGTGGACTCGTGGACTACAAAGCCCACAGTGCGTCTACCGTATTTACTCGCTCAATGAACGCACTCGCGTAATGAACGCACCCCCCAAGTCTGCTCTCAAAATTTCGACTTTTTTTTTTTCACTCGCGTGATAAACGCACCCCCAACTCGGACGTCAAAATTTTGACCCCCTCCCCCCCCCCCACGCGCGCGAAATGAACGCGTTTTTTTTTTCCTGTTGCAGCGAGTTGCGAATGCATGGACAGCGTGGGCGAACAAAACGCCTTGCAAAAGGCGTTTAAAAATTTCGCAAAGATCCAATGGAAGCAAGAAAAAAAAAACATGGAGAGGCGCTTTTTTTTTTTTGCGCAGCGCAGTCTGAACTTTGGATTCATAATGGAACAGCGCGAATTTTTGCAAGGACAGAAGAAGGAACTGGGCAGGACCAGCGCTCGTCCTGTCCAGTTCCTTCTGTCCTTGCAAAAATTCGCGCTGTTCCATTATGAATCCATACCAACTCGCCCAGTTATCCTGTTTACTGAACTTTGGGTTCGCGCGCTGCTGCGCGCAAGAAGGTAAGAAAGAGAAGCGCTATAAGCGAACGAAACAACTTGCGAAAGGCGGCAAAAAGAAGAAAAAAAAACCCACGGAACTAAGAGAAAACAAAAACAAACAAAGAGGAGCTTTTTTTTTTTTTTAACAGCGCAGTTTGGTTACAGGGGGTCGCGCGACGCGCGCAAGGAGGTAAGAAGAGGAGCGGATAAGCCCTCTAAGCAAACGAAACAGCTTGCAAAAGGTGGCAAAAAAAGAACAAAACACACAACCACGGAACTGAGATAGAACAAAGGAAAAAGAGCTTTTTTTTCTTCTTTTTTTTTTTGCACAGCGCAGTTTGGTTACGGGGGGGGTCGTGCGTCGCGCGCAAGGAGATAAGAAAGATAAGCGGAGAGCCCTCGCCTAAGCGAACAAAACAAATTGCGAAAGGCGGCAAAAAAAAAAAAAAAAAAACCCAAGGAACTAAAAGAAAAAAAAAACAGGGGAGTTTTTTTTTTTTTTTTTTTTTTTGGCACAGCTTAGTTAGGTTAGGGGTCGGGTGCGGCGCGCAAAGAGATAAGAAGTTACTTCGATTTTTCAGGATAAAAGGTCCGTTCATTATGCGAATACGGACGCAAAAATTTTACTTCGCGTAATGAACGCTCCCCCAACTTTGCATTGATTTTTCGGAAAAAAAAAGTGTGTTCATTCTGCGAGTAAATACGGTAATAGGGCTGCGCAGCTACTGAAAACCACGTACGCCTTTCAACCAAAAGATCAATGGTGCCACCACTTGGGGAGCAGATAAGTCTGTTTTCCTTAGCTTGTCTCTGATGATACTGGAAGGTGCAAACTCCGCTTGTTTAAAGGGGTTCAGAGGCAAATTAATTTATTGAGTTGGGAAGTCTGCATTGCCACAAAAGAGATACTAAGGTGGGTTTAAGAACCATTTACATTCTTTTATGATAAAAAAAAAATTTTTATATGCTTTTGGGGTTTTGAGTGCAGATCTCCAGAAAGCATGCGTGAGTGTCTTCTCCCCTTTATCAAACGCTGGTTCTCGCAGGCACTTCCCAGCAGCGTTTAATCGATCCCGGGACTTTTGAGCAATGGCTGCCTTGTTCTTGAGTATGGTACTCAATGTACATCTGGGACTGTTGTACTCTGTGGCAGCATCTGACTTTTCCCCATTCTCAATGCAACGAATTATGCCCAGCTTGTCCTAAAACAGTAGAGGCTGCCGCTGCTTGGTCCGCATTTCTCGCGACCACGCGGGGGGTACACTGGAGGTACATGGGGGCACACGGCATTCAAACAAAAAAGTAAGCTGCAAACAAAGCGTGCACGGAGACAGGTCCTGGTCGGCTAAGGTTCAAGATAAATGCCAAGGAGGAAAACAAATGTGCCTTTCACGAGCTTGGTCACGCCACGGGCTGACAGATCGCAGCTGTTGGATCTCGTGCAGTTTGCTCGGTGCTTGGGGAGGGGTTGGGGATGATTTTAGGTTGTGCAACGGATGGATCAGATTGCTTAAGTAAAGGGAACAGGTTGTTGGGAAATCCGCACCCTTTCAAGCGTGCATCACGAGTTTGCATCAAGAATTCCTCCCTTTAGCTTATCTTTCTTACCTCCCCTTCTGTGTGTCTGGCTATGCTATCTTTGTTCGCAGCTCGGGGTTCAGGAGCTTTTCTTTTTTTCCAACGTTTTTTGTTTTGTCTTTTTAGAAGGGACATGCTGGGGGCGGGCATTCGCGCATTTTTGGAAGGCCGCACACGGTGACAAAGTTCAATATAGCCATTCAACTGTTTGTTATAAAAAGTAGCTACTTCTTAGTTCTTACACGCATTTCTGTTTGAAAAATTTGGCAAATCAACATAGACAATAATTTGCTATATTCGAGTTTGTCATAAACTCGTTTGACTGTAGTTTGTTGTGGGGTCCATGCATTGTCTTCAAGTTCCACTTTGAGTGTTCTATAAGTGAGCATTTGGGTTTAAAGAAGAGTGACTGCTTACACTGGTGCAAGCAGTCACACTCTTTTTTCCCCTAACTTGAGGATCAAATAGTCTGTATGAATGAGACGTCAATGCGACTCGACTAAGAGCACATATCCGAATTTCCTTATAATCATCTCGTTAATCTAGGTGAGCACTCGTACGGTACTTTACAGTCGGTTTATTAGTGCCGAATAGGCCACTAAACATAGAAAGAAGCATTTCCTGCTTCTTTCTGGGGGTTGTGAACTGGGGGTTGAACTGGGGGTTGTGGTTCCAGGTGGGCACTGTGATGGACTCTCCGACGGACTTCTACCATGCCCGCGTGCCCAAGAAGGACCGAAAGCAGACCCTGGTCGAGGAACTCCTGGCAGACGCGCAGTTTAGGAGGTGGGTCTCTGGACGGCGCGTGTCGGCGTCGGAGCTCTCCAGACTTTCCCTGGGGTGGCTGTTTATTGGCTAGAGGAACCTTTCCTTTCATCCTATTTTTTTATTTCCGAGATTTCTGGTCCCTCCAAAGTACAGCACGTCCCAAAAAAGTATTTGCGGTGTTCTGTTTCATCCCAAAAATAGACTATGCGTCGCCCAACGCTCCTTCTCTGCCCAAAGGTAACGGTAGCGATCCGAACTTGATGCCAAAGTTTGAGAACTAACTGTTACCTCGTTCAAAAGTTATAACTGATTTTCTGAAACTTTTGATGAAAAATAAGGCCTGTTTTTTTTCCGTTTTCAGTAACTGGCACCATTCAGCTCCATGTATTCGAGGCCTTCGTCGGCCACCATTTTCCCATTGAAAATTTTAGAAGATCGCCTTTAAATTATTAATGAGATAATGGTTAGTTCTGAAACCTTGGCATCTGGTCCAAATTGCTAGCGCTACATTTGGGTAAAAAACGAGGTTGCGGCGATGCAAAGTTCATCTTTGCGGTGAAAAAGAACATTGTAAGTTTTTTGGGAGATACCCTGTTCATTTTCTGTCTGACTTCATACAAGCTCAAGTAAGCAGAATATCCCGTGCTAGGTAATAATTGTTCTTTTATCTTAACCTCTTAAGGAGACACACCCCCTAGAAGGGTCAACTTTTGAACCCTTGGCTTAAAATTAGTGAATATTACAGGGTAGGCTGCTGGTCATGCTTGAGGGTGCAGAACAAAATTTCAGGTCTGTCGGTTAAATGGGAAGGAAATTAGAGCAGCTTCTATCAGCAACACGCCTACATTGTTTAGTTAATCTATCGTAGAAAAACTATTGCAATATTTAAGATTTTTATTCGCTAGATATGCAGTAGAATGCCTAGAGCGTGCGGCTATGGAAAGCTTTTTGTAAAAAGTCATTTATTTCCTCTTCTGCAAAATTGATCAACTTTTTTGTCTTCCGTGTCTTGGACAAAATGTCAACATTATATCCCCGGATTATGTCAACATTATATCCCCGGATTATCTGCAGATATCCGTAGTAAACTGGCGGATGCGGATAAAATTTAGACTGATTTTGGCAGATTGCAGATCGGATGCGGATGTCAGGGGCTGCGGATGCGGATATCTGCGGATCCGGATCTAAATTTTTGGCTGGTGGCATTCAGTCCGTTGACTGACGTTTCATCTACAGATTGTTTCGTCGACATGCGACGTTTGATCGAAAGGCTTCCCGTGTTCAGTCATCGAAAAACCTGAGACGTTTCGTCGCCCACAACCCTGCTATTTTCGTAACAAACTTTTTGCGTCTCGCCTGGATTACAGGGGAAAGGGGGACATGGTTTGGTTAAGCACGCCTTAGTGAATTGCGCGCTAGCTTTTAGCGGCTTAGTGAAGAAATACATTGTCGACAAAACGTTGCAGGGGCATGTGCCCACAAAACGTACAGCGTCGACGAACCGTGTGTCATTGAAATGTATGTCCGTGAAAAGTTGTCCACAAAACGTATTTCCACAAAACGCGTTTCGAAGAAACGATATGGATCCTAAGAAAGATCTGATTCTTACTGAAGATCGCTTCAGTTAGTGCATTTCATCTCGTCAAAAATGCTATCTATAGAAAAAGTAAAGAATGCAGGGCATCAATCGTCCCGAGAAAGCTAGTTCCTTGGCAGGGAAAGAACGGAAAACTTTCTCTGGGCAAAGAAAACCTCAAACGAACAAGTCACAAGAAAGTAGAAGAAAGCTACCCCTCTCCCTAGAGAGTGGTGTGGTCATGATACCAAAAACAAAAGAAGTTCTTCGACAGCGAGCGCAACCCTGTGGCGCCACGGTTTGCAGAGTTTCGGAATCAGCGGCGCACGCACAAAGGCAGAGCTCGTAAAGTGCTGTTTCTTTTTTGTGTGCTTAGAGTTCTAGCCAAGGAAGTCTGGTAGTTCATATTCGTCCGGTTATGAGGCCAGGGCGCCAGGAATGCCAGTGGCTGCGCACCCAACCTCCGTAGCCGCCCCAAGCAAAAAAAAAAAATGTTTACTTTCAATTTTGATATTTGGGCGCCTGCAGGCTGCAATCTTTCTCGAACAATGCGTTAGTCGATCCGATCAGGCCTTAGACTCTGACTTAGCAGCGCATCTGTCCATTGGCTGACACGAAACACCGTGAGACTCGAGGCAGCCGCACACGCTCGGTAACATCACAGAAAGGATTTTGTCTTCCTACCACTGCTTCTCCTCCTCTCTCTCCGAACTCTTTTTTATTTTTTTATGACCTTCTTTCCCAGGCGTTCAGACTTCAGGGGAGAGTTAGGAGGCCACAGGTTAAAGTTTTCGATTCTGCGTGCGGCGGGGAAGAACGCAGTCGGCGTGATTTCCGCTGATTTTGCTAGTCTATATGTAATCATAACCTCTGCTGGTTAGCAAGAACGTCCACATGGTTCCACATTTTGCGGATGCTGTCCGGATACCGATACAAAGTATGCGGATGCGGATCGGATACGGATACAATAATGTAAAAAGTTTGTGGATGCGGCTCGGATGCGGATACTCAAACTGTTATCCGCGCAGGGCTCTAGACATCCGTAAAGTGACAAAAGAATTCCATAGCCACACCCCTTATTAAACTTCAGTCAGGAAAAGTGAAGAAAGAGCCTTCCCTGTATTGCCGTTATCAAACGATAGATTGACTAAAATGGAATTTATACCAAAAAACTGACCGCATCTCCACATGGTGAATGATGTTGATTGGGGCGAAGCTCTGGTGGTGCTGATGATACTGATTTTTTTAGCATTTGACCGCAGCGCCCTCTTGTCTATAAACGTTGAGCTAATGCATGCAAAGTTTAATGTGATTATATACGCATTTGACCGCAGTTCCCTCTCCTGTATAGACGTTGAGCGGCTACATGCAACGTTTCATCCATGACATCCTCAGCTCTTGAGTTACTACCACATCTCGGAGCCCCCTACTCGTCCCACAGTCGTGGCCGAGTGGTTAAGGCAATTGACTAGACATCCATCGGGGTTTCCCCACACAGGTTCGAATCCTGTCGACTGCGCAAACATTTTTTCTTTTTTTAAGAAGACAGATGGGATGGCAATCGATTTGAGCACAGACGCGGGACAAGGCTAGACCCTAAGGAGCTTCGCCCCTAAAAAATGAAGTGGAGAGAAACATGTTCAAAGTTTTCACACCTACGCCTTTACTGTGGCACCTCTGTTAGGTCGCTAGAACAGTCCAGCAGCGTACGTAGGACCCTCCTGTTGTAAGCGCTTCTGCTCAGAGGCCACTGCTTCCATTTTCCATCGCTTGTGGGCCACTTTTGAAGACTCTAATGCACTGGCTCAAGACCTGGCAAGTCGGTACTGAGTTGCCTTTCTTGCCTGCGACTTGTGGTGTGTTCTAGCCTCCATCTTCATTTCGAGCAGTGCCCTTTCGAAGCCCCTTAGTCGCAGATTGTATTCCAGAACTGATAGTGCCACTGCAGTCTCAACAGTCCGGAGGGAGGCAAACTCCGTCTTTGGCATCTTCCAGATCAGAGCATTGAAGGACTCATTGGCATTCCGAGTTGTCATGCGTGAGCACCTGGCCAACAAGTCTTTGTGCATCAGCCGGTTGTACACCCGTGAGCGATATGAAGGTGAACTGCCCTCTTTTTGTTTTTGACGCTCCTGCAAGTTTTGGGACAAGCTCTGTTCCAGAAGAGTGCTAGAACGCAAAGTTTAGACCCCCAAGCCACATACCATTTGAGACGTTGAGAGTTAATATAGCTTTAGGGAGCCTAAAACAGGCAAGCAACCAGGTAAGGTGTTCACCTTCATATTGCCGGCAGGTGTGCAATGGCACATGCTCCTTGGCCACATCTTTGGAGAATGCCGGCCGGTGAGGTTTTGCAATCGACGCCTTTAGGGCTGCTTGGAGTGCAAGGTGGTGGTTGTGGTAACACCACAAATCCTCTCCCTTGGGCACGCAATGTGCCGAGGCTCGTCATCGGTAGAATACATGTGTAGCAGGGTTGCATACACACCACGCTGCATCGCTGCCACATCTGGTGCATTCTGTTTTAGGGCAGTGGCGTAATAGTTTGTCATTTTTTTCGTTATGACATTTGTGAGCTTGCCTCGTCCCCCGAGTCCCTCCTTTGCCTTTTTCAATTTCTTCATACCTGCATATAGCCTCTTCGCGACGTGGTTCACGCAGTCTTCTTTACTGACGTCCTTGTCGTAGAGCTGCAGCGCAGCAACATGGTTGTAGGCTTTGGAGTCGCTGTCACAGAGCACGGTCACATATTGCAGCTTGTGGAGTTCCACTGACCGGTTGAAAATCACTCTTGCTGCCTGCACTTCCATGGCGTTGGCCGAGCTGGCAAAATTTCTCTGGCATTTAGACTCATGCCCTTTCATCAACTCTTCATGTCTGTTTGCGCCCTCTTTTGGTCCAATGCTGCAAACATGGCAGTAGTTGGTTTCAACTTCGTAATCTAAAACTAGTCCAGTGTCTAGCTCGATGGCAACACCAACACCGAAATGAAACTGGTGGCCTCGTTTGTGCCAAGTTCCATCGTAACTTATGCATACATCTTGTAGCTGGCCTTTGCCATCCAACGTCCCTAGCGTCTTCCTCACAGTTCGCGCAGCCTCAGCCATCGCGTTTGCTGACGCCCATATGGCCGCGTCATGCGCCTTCGTTGCAATCTTCTGATAAGATTCGAGGGTCATCGGCGGAGGTGCATTCAGCTCTGTAAAGAAATTGATTAGCTTCGTAAAGCCAATACCGCAGTTGCGCGAAACCATTCTGAGCGGTGCGGCAAGCTCGTTCTGTTTGGTGCCATCGATGGTCAACGAGAGCGGCGCGGACACGACGACTCCGCAGACAGGACACTCAACGAAAAACGTTAGATGAGCTCCGGTATCGCTTTAAGTTTTAAATCACACGCTTGGCAATTCGGACAGAGCAGCACTTTATCCAGGCTTCGCAGACA